GCTGGCTGGATGAGCACAGCAGTATGGGCCATGAAAGAGTGCAAAACCTGGGGGCAATGAAATGCAGTGTTGGTTTGTGTGAATGTGCCTGAGCACTCCTAGAGCCCTTCTAGGCCTATGTAGAGACACACAGAAGAAATAGCCCGAAGAATGTATGTCTTTATTTAAGCTATACTTGGTAACATATTATTTCCTCTCCATTTCACTGCTGGCAGTTAGCTTGGCACTCAAAAATTAAGGACAGATTACAGTGATTTTCTTCTGAGCTCTGCTTATCAGTGGGGCTCCAGGGATGAGCCTGATTCGGAGGCACTGCACGGTGGGTAAATGGACAGCCATGGAGACACAGTCTTCCAGGAATGCTTGGGAATCTGAGATACCTCCTGCATATCAATCCTCTCCCTCACCAACGTTGTTTTATTCATCACAGAATCACAGAATCATAGAATGGTTTGGGTTGGAAGGGACCTTAAAGATCATCTAGTTCCAAGCCCCCTGCCATGGGCAGGGACACCTTCTACTAGACCAGGTTGCTCAAAGCCCCCTCCAACCTGGCCTTGAACACTTCCAGGGATGGGGCATCCACAACTTCTCTGGGCAAACTGTTCCAGTGCCTCACCACCCGTATCATCATCCAATGAACCGCACAGCTAACACGCCGTAGCTAAAAGTGGTCCCAAATGACTTGCATCTACAGGGAAGCAGAATACCTGCACCCTCACGATTCTTTCCTGGGAGGATGAGGATCCTCTGTTTAGAGGACTCTGAGGGTTTTTATTTCCCTTTCATTTGTTACTGCAGCTGGAATAACATTTTAAAAAGTAATGGCAATTTTTCAAAAGCAATATTTCAAAGAAATTGCTCTGGTCACTGGTGGTTTGTGATCCACTTGTGACTGTCCCTAGGGTAGAATGAAAGAAGAAAAAAGTCCAACTAGAAATATAACTGGAGGGACTACCATTTAGATCAGGGAAGATCAGTTGTGTGTTTGCAGAGAGGGAGAAGGGAGAGATGATATATACAGGTGACCAATATGAGTCAGGAATTTTAACACGCAAACAGCTTTAGCTTGAAGAAGAAGGTGTCCTATACAGTACCTAAGATACAGAGCACACAGACTCCTGCCATGTAGCCCCCTCACGTATACAGTGCTCCCGGCAGGGATGGACAGCAGAACCTCCTGTAGCTAACTCGCTACAGTCACAGGACAACTTCACTGTACAATATCTGAGGGTCGCTATACACAAAACCTCAGCCTGCAGATCGCAGTGGGTTGAGCCAATTCATCCTGCTTCCCTAGGACTGGCATTTCATGTCGTCTGCGTTCACTGCAGTCAAGTTCCTCTGTGGTCTCTGGAGCACAGAGACATGTTGTCTCAGCAGTGCAACATGAAAGGCCACGTGGGAGAGAAAGCCTGCCAGCTATGGACCCCACGTTACCAGCCTCATGGAAAGAGAGACCGAACACCCGCTGGTACATGAGGCTAGGACAAGAGTGTCACATTATCTACAAGGGTGGGATAGGAAAAGAAGAGCAGGGGCTAGACTCTGCAGGAAGCTGAACATCATCCAGGAAAGCACATTCTTAACTTTAAGCATGTGAATAGTCTACCAAAATTAAGGGGATTAGTCACATGCTTCAAGTAAAGCACATATTTAGGCGCTTCGCCAGAGCAGATCTGAAGGACGGGGTCAAGCCCCTTAATGCTGGGACCACAGCTAACAGATTTCTAATTAACTACTCCTCAAACTAGAAAACCAGACACTAGTCAAAAAGCTTGAATCTCTGTTCAGAAAGATATTTCAAAGCCTCCCAAAAATGCAGAAACTCAGACTAGATGGGGAGTGTGCTTTAGCTCAGGGTAGATGGAGCCACTAACCATTGCAAATTTGGATTTGGATGCATTTTGGGTCAACCCTGCTCTAAAGATGAGTCTGAGCCAACAGAAAGCGTGGTGGGGCTGTGAGCCCCCTTCAAGGGTATCAAAGCACGCAGAGCTCCTCCCGGTTCTGCAAGTAGCATGGAGGGAAATTCACAATGTCCCAAAGGAGTTTTGCCCTTATTTGAGACAAAGGTGAGAGAACTGGTGTTTAGATAAATGGTCCCTCTGGGCATCCCATTTGAGATTAAGGTTATATGATCATCTACTGCTTCAGACACTTACTCCTGTAGTTTTTAAGATGCTTCGTAGCCACAAAGGCCTTAGAGAGCCTATGCTATAGTGAGTGGAAAATCACAGAACTGGCCTAAAGATCCAGGGTTAACACTTTTATGTTGTAAATAAAAATAATCATAACCCTCTGCCACCATCGCCACACACAGACAAACACACAGGCTCATATACCGCTTGTAAACCAACACCGTCAGAGAATACTTCATCAAGGCAGAATTATTTTCATGCCAGCTGCAGAAAGAAAGGAAAGCTTTGAGAATCCATGAAAGAGCAAAATTATTTCCATTTCTTTAAATCTTACTGCTATACCTCTTTCAAAACTGTATCTGTAAAAGAATACACCCTGTGACCAGTCATAGACCACACAAGACTGTACATCGTCACAGGAGCTGTCGTACTGCTTTCCATGCCACAGGGCCTGACGGTGGACTCCAGCTAGATACCTCTGTGCCCTTTAGTTTACCTGGGTCACTCCAGGTATCTGTATTCACATGAAAAACCTTCCCTATGGCACTCAGCACTGCAGAGGAGGAAGAAAGTTTGCGTTCAAAGCTGTTTTAATGAAACAATTACCATTTTTCTAAAGCATTAATCTCTTAATGAGAAGTTGTTTTTTCTCAGAATTTTTCATATTTTGAAAAATTTCACAATTTGTTTTATAGGTCTCTTTTGGTTTTCAGTTACTGATTTTCTGCTTTCAGTTTTCATTTAGGTTTCCAAGAGCTGTTTTTATTTTTAATTTCCTTCTTCATTCCAATAGTAATTCATCAGCCTCCTTACCTAGTAGGCACTTGCACAGTCAAACAGTTTCAAAGCTTTTCAAAACGACTCTGTTTGAAAACCTTGCCAGAAAAAAGAAATAAACCAATCTACTGAAAAAGGAAGTTTCTTCAAAAGGCATTTTCAACATGAATAAATAAGTACTTTCTCCAGTCAGATCTAATGGAAGATGAAATGACAAAACTTCAGTTGCCAGGGATGGCACTTCAGTGGCAACACACCGGCTTGGCAGCTGGCATTGGCATGGTTGGGCAATTTGTAGACCAGAGAAAGCAAAAACTAGGTACTTGAGCAAGAATGAAAGAAACCCAAATCTACCCTACTCCAAAATGCCCTCCAGAAATTTCATTTCTTTGGGCACTGTTAATAAAGCAACATCATCACACAAGGTGTAACGAGGAGGGGAAGCAGGGCTGGAAGGGGAATGGCTGGCTATGCAATCGTATTGCATAAGCATTATTTATTGGTTGGATTTTTTTTAACGGAGCAAAATACTGTTTCTTGCCAGCTGTGTAAATGGCATGACCTGGAAATTAATGCCTTCATTTCTGTGCAATAGGCACAGTTTCAACAGGTTGCCTCCTTCTCCTGGTGAGTTTTTGTAGATGCAGAGGATGATTTTTATTGACTAATGAGGACTGATGGCATGCAGCTATCATGTAAGAAAGGACTCCTGGTTCTATCCCTGAATTAAGAGCATGTTGGGTTGGGTTGGTTTTGGGGAGGCCTTTTTTCTTTGCCCTGTCTCCTCTTTGCCTGTACGTTTGTCAGTGGTACCCTCACTCCTGCATGTGGCCATTCAGTCATCGCCTCTTCAGACTCCATTTGGTTACACCCTTGGCCCTTCCTCCCCCACCTTCCTCTCAGCCACTCTTACCCTGCAAGGACCCACTGCCCTCAGCCAAAATGCTTTGCTTCCCCTAATGGCATTCACCCGCCTCTCCAGACTTTGCTGTTCATTTAGCTCTTCTGGGACCTATTACCTGAACAATGGGAAGAGCAGAGTGAAGGGAAAAGGAGACAACGGGAAGAGGAGTAGCACGAAAAAGAGAAAGACCAAAAAGAGAAAGAGGGAGTCCCATTTGTGGATTCACAATTATATCATACAACGCTTGAGCTCATGGGAAATGGATCTCCGTTCTCTGAATCTGACCCATTCGCTTCCATCTGTACACAGTTCTCCCAGATGGAGAGTGGAGATGTCCAGTGAACTGGGGCAGTTTCCAAAGACAAGACGTGGGAGGGTGTTATTTGGCATACATGAACACAACAAGAGGCATCTCTTACTTCTCCCTTACAAAAATTAGCTCCTCTTTTCTCCTTGGCAATGGCTTTTGCCCATTTGTCTTAAACATCCAAAACGGAAACTCGATGATCAAATCCCACTCCAGCAAAGAACTGGGAAGAGCAACTGCGAGGGCTCCCCCCACCTCCCTTCTCCCTGGTCAGTCTTCCCTTGGATCCACCATCCTGAACTCTCGGATGCTCCATGAAAACAAAAAAACATCCTGAAATCCACCAGAGGGGACATGCTGTCTCAGACCTGACGGCTTTCCTCACGCTTCTGCAGTTGCAGTGCCTCAGTCTTGGGCCACAAACACAGCATGGATGGTTTAGTGGACAATCACATTGCAATGTTTTAAATTTTTCTTTTTCTTAAAAAAAAAAAAAAGAAGAAGAGGGAAGAAAAAGTTATACACACATGTATCACAGCATTTTCAAAAGGCCTTCTGCTGCATTTATGTTAGCAGTTCAGCCTCAGTTGTAAGCCTGGATGTAAGGCAGCTGGAAGGTTAAAACCGCATTGTTGGAAAGTCCGCTGAGATGTCCTCATGGAGTTCTTTTTGTTGTTTTCTGTTTTTATTTTGTTAGACCTGTTTATTAGTATTATTATTATTTTCACTTGTTTGCTTCTCTCTAAAGTTTGGCAGGCAAAGAGAAAATGCTTTTCTGCTTTTCCCCACATGTTCTGTCCATTTTGTTTTCTGTGTTTTAAGAAAAAAAAACCAACAAAAAACCCCCCAAAACCAACGACAGGGCAGGCTTCTGTCATTTTGTTTTAAGAAAAAAAAATAAAGTGGGTGGGTTTCTGATAACGGCCTTGAGGAGGTACGTTGTCGAGGTGGCTCAAATGCTTGATTTGTTCCTTTGCTTGCTGTTTGCATTTTCCCTTCTGGCTGCAATGGACAGGCTTTTTGTCCCTCCCACCCCACCCTCCATGTCCTGTACAGATTCTGGTTCCAGATCCCCCACACAGACCCCCTGTTCTCCTTCCCAAATGGCAGTAGGTAGGTGCAACTGTATGTTCATTCGACCTCTAAGGTATGATGCTGAAGTTAAGAGTTGGATGGAAGAGCCATGTGAGAGAAAAGCTTTCCCATTGCTGTGAGAAAGAACGAAGCGACACAGAGTCCGGTGGAGATGTGAGTGCCATGTTGGACTCAGCTCTACCTTGGCACTGGCATTAATTTGAGATTATATATATATATATATAATTATATATACATATATATGCATGTATAGGTATACATAGACATATATATATATATATGTATGTGTGTGTGTGTGTGTATTTGTTTGCTATTTGTTTTAGCACACTGTCCCATTCTCAGGTCTAGATTTGGGGCAGTTGGTCCTGGGGACAGGTTGGACAGAAGGGGCCAGAGTGCAGAAGAAGCCAGAGATAAGAGTGAGGCCCAGGCCCCCCCACGCACAGAACATGGACCAGCCATAGCCATGGCTGATGTCGTCGGGAAGTCCGTACAGGTAGCGGGGGTAGCGGGAGAGCTCAAAGTTGATTCCAGCCACGCACGTGCACAGTGAAATGATGCAGAAGGTTCCTGGAGGAGAGCGGGAAGGGGAGAAGGAGGGAGGAAAAAAACAAAGAGAAGTTAGAAGAGCGATAGACACACCACTTTCCAAGTCACCCGAGAAGAGCTGGTGCAAGCAGTAAGGAAATACCTAAGGGAAGACGTTTGTATAGAAAGTGGCCTAGCCTAGCGGCTCCGCAGGGAAAGTACTGACTTCCACCAGAGCCTTGAATATTGATCTGATGCTGAACAGAGCTGTATGGAGAAACTTCAACAGGAACAGTTTTTTTCAATACGAGCACTCCCTTGGGAACCAGAATGCTTCATGAAACCATTGATTTTTCTGGAATTTTGCTTTAGACAAATACAGAGTGAATCATCACGTTTCAATTTTTTTTGGAGGGGAAAAAAACTTGAATTTTTTGTTTAATCTCAATTTTTCAGTGATGGATTTTATAGAAGAAAATATTACAAAATATTTGACATATTCTGGCTCTGTTGAAATGTACATTTGAAATGACTTGGGAGGTTTTTTTCAGACTTTTCTTATATCAAAATCTAAAATCTTTCATTATACACCCCCCCTTTCAAATACCACTGTCAAAATCTTAAAATCCCTCACAAAATTCAGATTCTACCCTCTGCATGACTCCAGTCCCAATGTAGATGTCCTCTGCAGTGTTGGGGAAATCTTCAAAATATCCTGTTCTCGTTTTCCATCTCTGCAGCAATATTTCATTTCTTCCTGAGAACACTGCGAGGACAGGCTTCATAACTCTGTCAGGTGGTAAGTGTTATGGAAAGACACACGTATCAGATGAGGCTGAACCTTAGCCCACCCAGACGAGTCTAATTTTGATCTTTGGCCTCCAGCTTCATCAAAGCTAAACTCTGAACTCCTGAAATGCCACAGTTGCCACCCACACACAAAATAATGGATAGCTACAGACACTACACGCCCGTCTCAAGAGATAACAACAACTAAAGTCAACATAAAGTTGGTAGTTTATTTTTCCTCTCTAATTCCTCCCTATGTGGGCCTCTCTGAATTGCCTGGAGAGCCCTGGGCACAGAAGGCAACCTACAGGATGCGTGCTATAGTAACACGCATGGTCAGTCCCATGTGTCATCCCGCTGTTCCTGCACAGATCAGTAGCATGCTACGTGTGCTACCTGTGCAGCATGTCCTGCATCTGTCCACAAGCAGCTGCTGGCGAGGAATCTCCCACTCTTCCTGGTTGTCCCATCCCTAAGATAGCATGATCCTCCAAAGCAGTCACAGCCAGCCTGGTTTTAGTGTCAAGCTCCTTTCCTCTGTGTCATCATTTAACCCCAGCAAGCAACTAAGCCCCACACAGCCACTCACTCACTCCCCCCCGGTGCGATGGGGGAGAGAATTGGAAGGGTAAAAGTGAGAAAACTCGTGGGTTGAGATAAAGACAGTTTAATAGGTAAAGCAAAAGCTGCACACGCAAGCAAAGCAAAACAAGGAATTCATTCACTGCTTCCCATCGGCAGGCAGGTGTTCAGCCATCTCCAGGAAAGCAGGGCTCCATCACACGTAACCGTTACTTGGGAAGACAAATGCCACCACTCTGAACGTTCCCCGTTTCCTTCCTCTTCCCCCAGCTCTATATGCTGGGCATGACGTCACATGGTGTGGAATATCCCTTTGGTCAGTTGGGGTCAGCTGTCCCAGCTGTGTCCCCTCCCAACTTCTTGTGCACCCCCAGCCTCCTCGCTGGTGGGGTGGTGTGAGAAGCAGAAAAGACCTTGACTCTGTGTCAGCACTGCTTAGCAGTAATGAAAACATCCCTGTGTTATCAACACTGTTTTAAGGACAAACCCAGAACATAGCCCCATACTAGCCACTGTGAAGAAAATGAACTCTATCCCAGCCAAAACCAGCACACTCTGGTGCCCTTCCCTCTTTCTACCCCTTCCTGCCCCTGCTCCTGCTTCTCTTCTGCAACAATTTTCCTGTTGTTTCTCTGCTGCTTTGCTTCTTTTAGTTGCAGTTGCATTAAAGAAATGGATTTTACACTCCCCACTCTGAAGGCACAGGTAAGATTATGTGGTGAATTTGCCTGGAATGATGCTCAGAAACTGAGGGCATTTGTAGGAACATATATACACCACCAAAAATGTGTGGACTTTCCACCATACCCACCTCCTTTATTTAGTAGGAACATCACACAGGTCTAGAATCTGCAGGCAGATCTCCATCATGGACCTGCTGTGAGACCACTGTCATGGCCCTCTCTCTGTTCCCTCTTCTGATCACTGCTTTGTCTATTTGGACTGTCTTTTCTCCAGTGTGTTTTGGCATGCCACTTGTAGATACTCTCTGTTGTAAAGGTCAGGGAATATGGGAACTCTGGATGCCTCCCCTAATGCTATATATAGCTGCCAGGTGGCCCAGGTTATTCATAAGTACTCATATTATGATAGTGCCACAGGATATCAGTGAGGAGTGGTATCGGTAGGTACTATGCCTATTTAAATAAAAACAGCCTTCTTGCTTCTCACTAGCACCCAATTAGTCTACAGTCAGTGCTCTGGACTTTTGCAAAAGCCTTGTAAGACCCCAGGCTCTGGACCTGTCTTCAGAGATGTCCTACACTACTTCAAAGCACAGAACAGGATAAATGGGGAAGTCTCCCTGCCAGAATCCCTTGCTCAAAAACCAGGTTGTTTGATTAGAAACCACACACCCCTTTCCATGTTTTACCGTGTCACTTAGGTTATCCGGTAACATGAAGGTGTCTGGCAAGAACGCGGTTGTTCCCTGTGTGACATGTCAACATGACTAGTACATTGTGGGATCGGGGAAAAAAGGATCCATCAGAGCCACTGTGTTCTGAACCAAGCTCCGTGGCTCATTTCAGATGGCTGTGGCTAGAAAATGACATGAAAGGCCTCTCTTTGCTAGCAAGAACATGATAATTTCAGCTCTCTTGAAATGTAAGACTGTTAAGAGAGGTGGGTGGGAAAATCTGTGCGGCCAGACTGAAGCTGCATTTGCTAAGTACAAAAAGGAAGGAAATAACTTTGGATTTCAAATACTCCCCATGTTTTCATGCTTTGTCTTGCCTATTTTGATTACAAGCTCTTCAACGTAAGGAGCATTGCTTACTCTTTGTATTCTTGCTGGGGGTATTCTGCCCCATAACAAACAAACAATAAAGAAGAACGAGTAACAACAATAGAGAATAAAGCAAATCATGAGCATGAGTCTTCTTTAAAAAAAGGCTGCCCCCGTCCTGCCCCTTCACTGGAGAATGTGCTAATCCCACGACGATAAATAATGACTGCCATGCACAGTGTTAGAGGATGCATAGCACGGTGCTCAGCCAGTCACCCCCTAGTGCTTCTGCAGGCTGTCTTGTACGGCACAGGTTTATCAGCTTCCCTAGTGCTATTCATTACAGACACAAAAAATGCCATTTTATACCACCTAGAGGAATCTTTATGGCCATTATACAAGTCCTATGTGTTGTTTGTATTCAGCCGAGCAAGGAAGTTCCCACTTGTAGTTAATCTGGCCTCTCACCAGGAGGGCTACTGATGAAAATTGAGTACGGTTACTACCTTAGGACTGTTCGGTAGGTTTTCCTCATGAATTAGCAATCATAACACAAAGGATCATCCTTGCAAATTGCACAATCCTTGGCCATCGTAGTGAAAAAGTCATGGTTGGAAGGGATGCAGAGACTGAGCTTACCCTTGGAAATGCAGCCTCTGCCAGTCCGGGTAAGACACGGAGCTGGGATGGCAGGAGGAGGGAGGCTGTCGCTCCTGCCCATGACACTGCCTGCACTATGGACATGGCGCTTCAGAGGCAGCAGGATTGCAGCGAGTCATGAGTATCCCCAACCCTGAGATTCTTTCTCTCCCCAGAGAAGAAACTGAATCCTTATTCACTTTCCTGGTAGGTTCTTGCCATCAGTGAGGTGCCCCCCTACATGTGCACTAATGCCCCAGATCCCTGGGCAGCCATAGAAATAAAAACTTCTCTTTCTTTGTGAAAAACGCTTCCCGTAACTCTGGCCCAAGCAGACGACCAGACCTGAAGGCTGGTGGTCCATGGCTCCGCACTTGCGCCATGGCACTGGCACACAGGATGTGAATGACAGGCAGTAATAAAAGCTCACCGGGGATGTGCTGGTATGTGGGCTGGACGGGGGAGATAAAGACCGTCTCCTTCAGCAGCTGGGGAGAGCAGAACGCGCTAAGTTCTTTGTGCTGGGATTTACATGTTATCATCCTAAGCAAAACATTAATGAACGAGACAAGGCAACAGCAGGGTTTTTGACAAAGGAAATTCATGTGTCACTGCAAAATGCTTCAGTCAGGTGAGAGATGAGATTTCATGTAAAGCCATGTCTGTGCCACAGAAACTGCTGTTTGACATGTAGTCAAACCTCCACCCTGACTCCTCATCAGACAGCCACCTTTCCTCTCAGGCTGGTTTTGACAGTGCCTGTCCTGCTAATGGACTGATGATCAACAGTGGTTTGAGCACCTGAGCTATTAAATACCTCATGGTTATCTTATGTTTTTCCTTCTTATATATAATGGAAGAAGAATATTAAACATTGTACTGAATGTCTCCTCCATTTAGACTGGAAGTTTGTTTAGGACAGAGATGAACTTATTTGCTATATATGTGTATAAGATTCGGGTCCTGCCGTCCTTGCTGCAGGGGCAGACACGGTCAGGAGAGGGATGACTGGGAAAGGTAATATCATTGTTGGTCAAAGCCTAATTCTGTGTGGATTATGAGTCAGAGCTCTTTGCTGTAGCTGTTTTTAAGCATTGATTATATCAAGCAGACCTGTGGGCCTCTGCTGCTAGGAATTTTTTTTTTCCAGTAAATGTCCCTTTTCTTTCCAATCAGCCCAGCTGTGTGAGGGGCTGCAGTGCCTCCGTTTGCAGTTTTCAAACCTCACCTCCAGGGGAGAGCAGAACTGCTTGTGAGTGAACCAATTTAAACACAAGCAGGCTCAAACCATACATACCAAATATGT